CCTTATAGTAGCCATTTGAGACAGGATTTCATTAAGTGGTGATCTTCCTGCCTCGGCCTCCCTTAGTGCTGGGATTACAGGTATGCATCACCACACAGTTTGCCGGCGCTGTTATTATTCTGTGTGTTTGTGTGGTGGTGGTGCTGGGGTGGAAACCATGGTCTCATGTATGCTAGGCAAGTGCTCTACCACAGAGCTACATGTTCAGCTCTGTTTGTTGCTCATTTTCACTCACCCCTCCCCCCGTGGTCCTAAGTGTGCCTGACCATCCACCCACTCCTTTAACTGCTGTGTCAGTGAAGCACGCACCCATCCATTACTGCTGCGGTGTGCCGAGCACACGGTTTACATCTTGGAGGAAGGAAGGCCATGCTGACGCAGAGTGTGGGGATCTGTCCTTTTCCCAAGAACTGCTTTTTTTTTTTCCGGATCTGGGGACTGAACTCAGCCCCTTGAGCTTGCCAGTCAAGCGCTTATTCTATTGAGCTATCTCACCAAACCCCCATCTCCCCAGCCCCTCCAAAGAGCTACTTTTCATAAAGGAGTGGGAGTCAGTTTTCTCTAGTGGAACTGAAGGTGCACAGGAGCGTGTGTGTGTGTGTGTGTGTGTGTGTGTGTGTGTGTGTGTGCACCCACATGCACAGTGTGTGCGTTACAACATAACAGTAATGGCCTTCCTATAAGCAAGTGGCAAGCACGTTTGGATTCTCACCTCCAGACATCACAACCCTGGGGGCAGGGGCAGGACAGGTGCAGTGGACAGGAAGACAGAGCCAACTGCATGGAAGCTACAGCTGCTGGTGCAGTGGCACAGGCTGAGGCAGAAGGATCACTACCAACTCAAGACCAGCCTTGGCTACACAGTGAACTAAAAAGCCAGCCTGAATTACATAGCAAGACTGTCTCAAAAAACAAACAAAAAGCTGGGCGTGGTGGCATATGCCTGTAATTCTAGCTCCCAACATTCAGGAGGCTGAGACAGAAGGATCATTGCGAGTTTGAGACCAGCCTGGGCTACAAAGTTAGCTCAAGGCCAGCCTGAACTGCATAGAGAATCTCTGTCTCAAAAGGCAAATAGGGCTGAGGAGATAGCTCAGTAGAACAAGCACTTGCCTGGCAAGTGCAAGGTCCTGAGTTCAATCCCCAGTACTAGAAAAAAAAAAAAAAATCTAAAAGACAAATAAACCCCTCAAGAAACAACAACAACAACAAAAAAAAAACCCAACACCAATAAGAAAGACCAATGCTTCTTGGGCAGTGCATACACTAAAATGGGAAAGATATAGAGACAATTAGCACAGCCCCTGTACAAGGACAACACAGATTTGTGAAACATTCCATATTTTTAAAATATTTTTGAACCAATTTTACATGCTTATATCTGGTAATCTCAACAACTAATTTGAAGACAACAGTATGTAATATAACCACTATTGCTGAATTCCTATCATTTTGTTCAGTGAAATTCTGTATCATTTCTAATTTTTTTTTTTTTTTTTAACTATTTCTTTTGGTATCTTCTTAAAAAACAGAACAAAACAAAGGCCAGTAGGGTGTGGTGACACACACCTATAATCCCAGCATTTGGGAGGCTGTGCCAGGAAGATCCCTGGCAATTTTGAGAGAGACAGACAGACAGACAGACACACACAGACACAGACACAGACACAGACACACACACACACACACACACACACACACACACACAGATAGAGACAGAGACAGAGACAGAGACAGAGACAGAGACAGAGACAGAGATAGAGAGAAGAAAAAATTAAAAAGGCCATAACTGAGGCTTAGCCTATTGGAACTCACTCTCCCTGGAAGCCTCTTCCAGAAGTTTCCCCAGTTCTCCCTGGAATGCGGAATGTTGCCAATTCTTCAGCTAGTGTTTCCCTGTGGCTCTCTGCTCCTTTCCGTGGGGCTGGTTGGGGATCTGTGTGTCTGTCCATCCGCTGGGGAGATATCACTCTGGTCACTCTGGTAGCTTCCCTGCCACCACGGGACACATCATTCACCACATGCTCCTCGGTGCAGGTCGCCGGGACAGCCAGGAACTAACTGGCTTGCTGCCACACTGCTCTCACCTGCAGAGCAGCAGTAGTTTGACTGGTCCCCTGTCATCCCCTCCGACCCCTCCCCTTCCCCATGCGCCACACTTCAGCCCCAGCAAACCTTTGAAAATGTAAATCTGAGCTTGTCAGACCTTTCAGGATCCCCACAGCGTTTAGGATACAATCACAAATCCTCCCAGGTCCCTCGGCCCCAACAGGATCGACCCCAGCTTTCTTGGAAATGCCCTCTTCTCTGCGCTCTGACCACAACAAATCCCTTTCCTTCTCTTACTCACCCTGCTCTATTTTGCTGGCTAGTTTTGGATGGGAGATGCCCAGTGGCTGCCTCTGCCTCATTCCCGGTCTTTGGGGCGCCAGTTCTCCACAACCTGCCTCCTCTGGCAACGGCTGTCTGTGCTGAGCCCCTGACTAGCACACAGTGGGCATCCCATGAACGTCCTAAGACTAGAGGTAGGATCTTGCTTCCTCACTCCCAGAGGGTGAGGTATCCTGCTGTTCTCTACCCAAAACTGAAAGGCTTTTTTCCTTTTTCTCCGGTACCGGGGATTGAACCTTGGGGCATGCAATGCAAGAACCCTACCACTGAGCTATTCCATCCTTTTAAAAAATTAAGATGAGGTGTGATTAAATTGCTTAATTGCCCAGATTGGGCTTGAATTTGCAATCTTCCTATCTCCGGCTCCCAGAGTGCTAGAATGACAGGTGTGTACCACATCATCTGGCTTATAGGGTCTCCCTAAATTACCCACGCTGACCTTAGACTTGCATACTCCTGCCTCAGCCTCCCAAATAGCTGGGATTGCAGGTACGCACCACTGTGCTTAGGTTCACTGGGCTTTAAGTAGTGCTAACAGCATGCCTGAGGTCCTGGGTTCGATTCCTTCAACATCCCAAGCAGCAGGAAGAGCCCTCTTCCTAAGATGCAGCTGGACTCACCTGGCATCCCTCCCTCTCACAAAAGTGGCCTTTCCTGCTTTATCTTGACCATGTTGTAGGGTTGGGAAAGGATTATTATTTATTAGGCACACAAGATATCCCCTGGGAGTCACTATTTTCTTATTTGTTATGAGACAGGGTCTCACGTAGTTCAGATCAGTCTTGAATTCACTAGGCTGGCCCCAGACTCAGCAATCCTTCTACCTCAGTCTCCCAAGGACTGAGATTATAGGAACATGTCACCATACCACACAGGACTCACCATTTTGAGTGTATTTACATCTTCCTCTTCTGTATGTGCTTAGGACAGCATGGGAAGCCACTGTGTGTGGTGAATCTGAAAGCCCCCAGACCCATCACCTGAGAGCTGGGGGCTTTTCACTAATCTCACTTTCTTCATCTATAAAATGGGGCTGGTAATAGTACCTACTTCCCATACTTGTTGTGAGGAGTCAGTGAATGACTATATTTACTTATTTTCTGAGACAGGGTCTCACTGTCCTCAAACTCCTAGGCTCAAATGACCTTCCTGTCTCAGCCTTTCGGGTAACATGCCATACATGCCATAGTGCCTACTCATTTACTACTTTTTTTAGTGTTGGGGATTGAACTCGAGCCCTTCTTTATAAGCAATATCCCTAGCCTTGTTTTGAATTTTGAGACCATGTTATCAGTAAGTCACTAAATTGATAAAGTTGGGCTCTAAATTGCAAACCTCCTGCCTTAGCTTTCCAGAGTTCTAGGATGACAGGCATGTATCACTATGCTAGGCTGAGCTACCAATTTATTTCTTTATTTTGAGGTACTGATAATCGAACTCCGGACCTTGGGAGCTACTACCTTCAGTGCTCTTACTCAGGAGGGTTGTTACGAGTTCGAGACCAGCCTGGGCTACAAAGTGAGTTCAATGCCAGTCTGACCTGCATAGAGACTCTGTCTCAAGAAGACAAAATAAATAAAGCTCTTAGCCTGTAGCTCATAAGACACTCTTACTTATTATCAAGTGGAACATCCCCAGGAACTGGTTAGCTAGGCTCCTCTATAAAGCCCAGAAGCTGAATTTTGTCACCTGCTGTAAGAAACTGCAAGAAGTCTGCGTGGTTCATTTTCAAGTCACAGGACAAGCAAGTAAACACCCACAGACATGTAATGATTAGTTGGAGGAGTGTACTGTACAAAACCCTAGAGGCACAAAGATCCGGAGGACCCACTTCCTGTCCCAGTAAGAAGAGTAAGGCAAACCAATAATCACAATTCATCTGAGTATGGGAGGGCTGCCTCGAGGTTGGGAGGACAGAAGAGCATTCCAGGGTGTGCAGGGCAGAGGCAAGCGTGTATGGTGGAACCCTAGGGTACATGCAAGGCTAGATATAGAACAGCCACACACTTCCATACTAGAGGATGACAGGCTGAGAATTGGGGTTGGAGGCTGAGATCCTTCTCTGGGACAGATCTGGCTGGGGTGGAGGTGGGGGTGGCAGGGTGTGTTGGGCCTTCTCTGGAGCCCTCGCCCTCCTGAACAGTGGGCTGTCCAGTACAAGAGGTAAGGAAGAGACAGCCAGCCTTACACAATTCCATGCCCCTTACACCTACCTGCTCCCTACCCTGCGACTAGAGCTAGGGTCTCCGGGAGATTGCAGGGGCCTGGGAATCCAGTGCTTGTCTTCCCTGGAGGAAGGCACAGCTTCCAGATCCCCAGTGGGGGGTACAGTCTCCAGAGATGACAAATTTGACCTTGGGGTGGGACTGCACCCCTTTTTTTCCTTACCATTTTGTATAGGCTTCTAAGGGGAAGACCCTCTGACCTCTGGACTGTCCCCTTTCACCGTCCTGAGAAGAGAGTGGACAGGTGCTTCAGGAAGGGTTCCAAAGGCCACAAGTTTAGATGTAGCTGCTGTAAAGGCTCTGGGGACCCCTGGGAACTCTTGGGGAGCTCAGCCAAGGCCAGGAGCCTGCATCAGGGCCACAGAGTACAGGGTCGAGATGTGGGTGCCTGGCCCAGGAGGGAGGGGGAATGGGCGAAGGGGTCAGGCCAAGGGAGCAGGCGGGGCGCCAGGACTGGAGGGAGCCGAATGCGGGTGGAGGGAGAGGGGTCCAGCCGGTGCAGGGGGGGTGGCCCCCAGGGAGGGGCACGCTATGTCTTTAAGAGCTGCCTGAGCGCAGGTTGCAGCTGCCTGGCCAGCCCGAGAGACAGCAGAGATTCATTACCCGCCGACACAATGACCATTGATGGCCCCGTGGCGTTATTCAAATCCAGTACCAATTGCAGCCGAGCCCCTTTCTCCGCGCCAGGCCCGTATTGTTGGAGCGGCCCACTAAAAGCCCGCCCCGGCCCCGAGCCGCCAGAGGCGCCCGCTCGGGTTCAGCCATGCACCTCGCCAGCACGCCGGCTCCCAGTGCGGCTCCCCGGGCGCTGCAGGTGACCCGGCGGCGCATTCCAGCGCTCCCCGCTGCCGGGGCCACCACCGGCGACTCAGCCACAGGGAAGCGGAGAGCGCCCGAGTCGGTGCGTGCGCGGGTCTGGGCGGGGGCGGGAGACCCACGAGTCCAACACTCCGGTCCTGGGCTCGAAACACTACCGGCCTCGGTCCCCAGCTATCTGGACTCTGCAAACCCTGACTGGGGGCGGGGAGAGGGAAGTCGGGGTTCCCCGGGCCTGACAGAGGAGATTCCCTCAAGCTGGGGCAGCGCGGAGATCTAACGCGGGCCACTCTAGGGACCCCAGGCTGCGATAGAAGGCAACACGCTGGGGGCGATGGGGATCCCTGCACAGGGTCGGATCGGTGTGCCTGCTGGTCCATCCACCTTACCGTGGGATGGGCCACGACCGCCGGGCACTGGCGAGGTATTCCGACGCACGGCTCCGCAGATCTTCAGATTCGGTGCGTTTAAGGAGCGAGGCGCAGGCTGCAGGAGCCCGGGGCCCTTAACTCAGGGGCTTCGCCACTGATTGTCCAAACGCAATTCTTGTACGAGTCTGCGGCCAACCGAGAATTGTGGCTGGACATCTGTGGTTGAGCCCCGGGCGCAACAGGGGCCAGGGCCACAGGGACCGAGCTTGGAGCAGGCGGCTGGCTGGCCCCAGCACGAGGACCGCAGCCCCAGCCAGGCGCGCGGAGGGACCACGGAGGGACGCAGCTCCCTGCTATGATGGAGCGCCACATCCTCATCCTCCCTCCTGACCCTCCTCTGCCGGTGACCTGTCCCGGATGGCGGAGTCCTCCAGATCGCGTTGGTTTTCCCCCTTTCAAATTTCGGCCGGAATGAAGCTGGCACGCAGCTGCGGACCGGAATGTGGTCCAAGAAGCCCGCCCTCGGCCAGAGCTGAAGGAAGTCGGGGTGAAAGCAGATGCTGGCTGAACGCGCTTGCTAACTTGCTTCGAATCTGTTCTAACCTATCCCCTGACCAGTCACCCCAAAACAAAAAATAATCCTAAATTAGTCCCTAAATCCCAACCGACCAACCCCTCCCATAAACCCCTCTGCACGGAAGGATGGGCTGAGCCTCCTCCAACCACTGCTGGGGACGGAGCAGATCAGGAATGATGCGCTCCAGCTGGGCGACCACCTTGGCTCTGGAAGCAGAACTTGGACCAACGAATCCTTTCCATTAAAGAAAAATCTTCAGAGATAGTGGGGTTTATTTGTTTATTTCTTCAAAAGCAGGATCAGGAATTGTTTGGGTGGGGGACTGTTGGGAGCTGCTGGCAGTGAACCTGGGTCACCTGTCCTGACTCCTTTCTGACACAGGGCTCAAGATGACCTGCAGTAGTCCAAACTGTCTTGGCCCCGCCAGTTCCCGCTGTGGCACCAGCAACCCTGCTGCTGGAAGAATCTGGGTTTCCCCACCGGCTCTGCTGCTCAGCATTAACTAGGGTGCGACAGGGACAGGGATCTCCTCCATCTCTCAATCCAACTCCTCTCAGGCATTTAAAGGAATCCTAGCCTCCAGTTTTCACGAGGAAAACTGGCCACGTGGGAAAGCTGGCTAGTCCTGCAGTTTAGGAACTGGAGGGATGTAGGGAGCTCTAGGCTAGAGGAACTGGGCCAGGCTGAGCCTCTAAAGTGAGGCTGTTGGGCCATCCCAGACCCTCTGCTCTGTCCTCTGTTAGGGATACTCTGACTTCAGCAACTAGAGGACTGGTCAGTCAGGCTCTGTGGAGATCACCCGGCCCAGCCCCTACCATAAGCTACTCTCACAGCCACTACCACCACTCATGGGAGGCCTCCCCTGCAGTGGGCTGGAGAAGCCCACCAGCCAGGGTCACCTGTTCCCTAAGAGAATGATGTGCACCTCCCTAATACTGCCAGAACATTTGGTGCTTTCATCTTCACAGGACGAGACATTTCCACCTTAAAATATTGACATTTAATGAAAAGCAACATTCTAGAATTTGGCAGGATAATGTTGGTGCCCCCCCCCCCTTTTCGTGGTGGAACCGGGGATTGAACTCAGGCCCTTGAGCTTGCCAGGGAAGCGCTTATCCCATTGAGCCATTTCCCCAGCCCAATGCCCTAATTTTTTAAGGTCTCCCTCTGCAGACAAAGCTCTTTCTCCAGATTATGGAAGGAAAGGAGGTTTAGCAGGCTTTTCTATGCTAACCCCAGCATGGGGATGGGAGCTCTGGCTGCAGGTGATGGGACAAAGCCTGGCTGGGCTGAGTCCTGGATGCAGACTGGTCAGCATGGACTGGCTCTGCACCTCCGTCTCCAGATAGCCCTACAGGACCATCCCGTTTGGGCCTTTTCGGTGGAGGGCAGCTGAGAACTAGCACAGAATGGGGGGGGGGGAATCCCAGAGGCCCTGAAAGGGGAGAGATGGGCACCACCCATCTGTATGGATGCAACTCTCAGCAAGGCTAGTGAACAACCTAGCCTTTTATTTGCCTAAGGCCAGCTGTTGCAGACAACCAGGCCCCCACACTTCCAGAAGGGGTGGAGGAAGGAGGGGCAAACCACTCTGCCTACCAGGTGCTACCTGCCCCCCACCCTGCAAGTCAAATGTGTATCATCAAGCATGTCCCCAAGTTCCAGACACTATATTCAGTTGTTGCAGAGAAAGCAACTGAGGGACACTGACCCCTGTGCCAGGCCTCTGCCGGCCAGTCCAAGGTCAGGCTCTTTCCTCCCCACCTCCTCCAGTAGAATGGGCTGCTCAAAGACTGGGGAGGCTCTCAGGAGCCCATCTGGTGGCCTGTGGGGGGCCAGCCAGGGTCAAGGGCTGGGGAACAGGAGGAGGAGGGGTATGGCTGAGAGAGCAGCTGCTGGGTTGGGGGAAGACAGTCAGCCCTGAATAGGGGACCCCAGCTGGGGTTCTATAATGATATCAGTGGGGGACAGGCACAGCTCCCCTGCTGTCCAGATGGGGAAACTGAGGCAAAGAGTCCTTGGTCTCTGGTAGGGAGGACCTGCCTTCGTGTCTTCAGGCCCATCTGTCTTCCCTGCAAGATGGCCCTGGAGCTGAAGCGCCTTGTTGGCAGTCACTCAGCGTTCAGATGGAGGCACAAGGAGCAGAAGGCAGCTGGGTCACCTGGCCACTGAGCCCCCTCCATTCCTGATACACCAGAGGGGACCCCAGCCACTGCCTGCTCTGCCCTGCTCACGTGCTAAGAAAGGCTCATTTTTAGCACCTGGCCTCTTTTCTCTGCCTGGAGGGAGCTCAAGGGACAGAAAAGGGAAAAAGGCAGCTGAGGGGGAACAGGGAGTCCTAGAAGCGGGGCCCGAGGGACTATCTGACTGCTCTATCTCCCCCTGCAAAGGGCCCGGGCAGAGGGGTCCTCAGCCACCATGCAGAGTAGAGATGAAGAGGATGCTGTCCTGGTCCTGCAGCTGGTAGTCCAGCTCTCCCTGGGGTAGGAGAAAGAAGAGGCCATCAGGGCACAGCCCAGGTTTCTCCCCAGGTGTCAGGAGGGGAAGGGGAAAGGCAGGCTTCTCTACAAACATGGGCACCCTACACATCCACAAGCAAACCTCCAGCTGCCCCTTCCCTCACTGGGGGTGGGGGACTCACACAGCCTCAGTGTGGCTACTGCAGTGGGCTGCAGAGTCACCTTCTCTGGGCTTGATGAGGGGCCTGAGCCTGGGCCCGGGAGGGGAGTCCCCAGGTACTGACCAGTAGTTCCCAGTCGGCATCGTTAATCAGCACCAGAATTCCCGGCCGCCTGTGGGAAAGATGGTGGTGAGTAGTGGGGAGCAAAAGCGAAGGCAGGAGGCGCAGTGCTGGACCAGGGGAGAGTGGAGGGAGCATTTCCTTCTGGGGGCTGGTCAAAGACCTCTCAGGATGTGGGGCTGTGATCTGCTGGCAGCCGAGACCTTTGGACCATGTAGAAATGGGTACAATTGTCAGCACCACCAGCCAGACCTCAGGCAAGTTATTTGCTTCTCTGAGCATTAGTTTTTTCTTTTTTTTGCGGAACCGGGGACTGAACTCAGATCTTTGTGCTTGCCAGGGAAGCACTTATTCTACTGAGCCATCTCCCCGGCCCAGGCATTAGTTTTTTCACCTGAGAAGGGAGTGAACTGTGCTGCCTATTCAAGGCTTTGAGATGAGTGTGAGGCTCATCAGCATTCTCAGTAGATGCCACTTTTAACATCTTGGGTTCTAGAAAGGAGGCTCCTGGGCTTCAAAGCCTCATGTGTACCCATCCTGGAGAAGGGACACCTTGGCTCTTCTGGGTCAGGGACAGCGCCTGTGGCACTGAGCATCTGAATGTTCCAGAGCCTTCGGCCTGCAGTAGGCGGGGCAGGTCCACATTTGGACAGGCAGCTTAGCCTGACTACTGCTGGCAGCTGCCCAAGCAGCGCTGCTGTCCTTGCACGTGGCCTCCAGGACTGTTGCAGCAGGATCTGAAGCAGGCTCGGTGGCAGCCCTGTCCCTCAGGGCCTGCTGGTGACCTATGCTTCGAGGCAGCTGAAGGAGCTTCTCAACTGTGCTGCCACCCCTCTGCCACAGGTTATCTCTGTTACGGGAGTAAAGTGACTTCCGCTACATGGAACCCTGTCCTCTGCTAGGAGCTGGGCTTAGGACGAGTCAGGAAGCCTGTGTGCAAATGTGTGCCTGAGTGCATGTGAGTATACAGTCAGCAACACCCTGGAACCCTAGCCTTGTGCTGTCCCACAGAGCGTTGCCTGGCCCCACTGGCTCTTCAAATTACAGTGAGATGAAATGGAATGGTTACAAGGCTGGGGATATAGCTCAGTGGCATAAATGCCTGTCTGACAAATGCAAAGT